CACACTCACACTCACACTCACACGCACACTCACACTCACACACACACACACACACTCACACTCGCACGCACGCACGCACACACACACACACACTCACACTGGAGTAAGAACATGACTGCCCTGTGTTATTATCATTCAAAAAAATATAAAGAAATAACATAAAATATATTAATTAAAATATTCTTTTAAAAAATAATAAATTTTATTTAGTTCCCACATTTTTCTGTTTAGTTAATTGAATTACTGAAGAGCTGAAAATAACTAATCTAAAACTAAATAAAAAATTATAAAAACCAAATATAATAAAAAAAGAAAATGTATGTATGTATGTGTGTGTGTGTATATATATATATATATATATATAAATTATGTTAATTGAAATAAAAAATATAAAATAAAATTATAAAAACATTTTAAGTTAATTGTCAAAGCAACATTTCAAATTTCTATAAAGTTGAATTACTAAAATAACTGTATTTTTAACATAACTAAACTAAAACTGAAATAAAATAAACAGAAAAAAACACACAAAAATACTAAAACTTAATCTAAAATTAAAATTAAACAGAAAATAGAAAAAAAACATATAAAACAAATCTATGTAACAAATATAAAAATTAAAATATTAATAAATACCATAATACTATATTAATTATACTAAAATAACCCTAAAGCTCAGACACTTAAAATAAAATATATATATATATAAAAAAACAAAAAAAAAAAACAAACAAAAGAACATTTGTGGTAAATGAAATAAAATAAATGTTAAATAAATTAATAAATTAAATATAAAAAAAAGTAACATCATATTTCAGTCAGTTGCCAAGCCAGCATTTCAAATTTCCATTTACTTTAAGTTGAAATATTACAAAATTACTAGAACGAAAGCTGAAAATAACTGAAATAAAAATATTAAAAACTAGAACTAGACTAAAACAAAAATAATAAAACTGGACAAACACACACGCAACACATTTTAAACTAAAATTAAAATGAAAAAAATTGAATTAATTCAAAACCATTAAACTATATTAATATAACACTCAAGCTCAGACACTTAAACAGGCGAGAGAACGGATGGAAATAAAGAGCTGAAGTCATGGACAGCTTTCTTACCTGATGACATCAGCTTGAAGTTCATCGTGAAACACTGATATCAAACTGATTTGAGCACGTTTTAGAGAGACACGAACTGCTGATTTCCTTTCAGTAATGACGTCACTTCCTAAAGGATGATGTCTGTCTGGAGGTTAAAGACAAGTAGGATCGAAAGTGACACAGCAAAAAAATCATTATTAGCAATTAAAATTCCCAAGAAATATGTTTAATTTCAAACATTTAGCTATAGAAACAGCTATTTCTGAATAAAACTATTTAAAATTCACAAACGTACATGACTTAATCTATAATGATCTTCTGAAATGGTTATGATGAGGGCATGAAAATATGCAGCATATGGAAATAACTCCAGATTTAAATTGATATTAAATATAATGATATATCTTTAATGATGCCTGTGTCATAAATACAGACACTGGTTAATTTTAGAAAGCCATTGCTGAAATGTAATGAAGAACTAACACCTAAAATCAAGAAAACTGCTTCACAGGACACTTTGGACAGTTTTACTTTACAAATGAAGGTTGCATGAGTACAACTAATTTCAAATACAAGTTTAACGCAGAGAATCTTCATGTGTTCATACAGAGGGTTTGATTAGACTCTCATATCTTACAGATAAAGCTTGGCTTTGGTTTAAATCAGGCAACATGTGAAAGACGAGAACATCAAATAAACGTGATGATAAACAACTCTGCAGCTGATGGGAACATTTTGTCCATCAACACTCGTGATTATTTATTATATTAATCCATCGGGATAATCATATACACAGCGCTGATCATGAAGAGACTTTACAAACAAACACCGAGTATCAGGGTGGTTATAAGGAAATGATGGAACATCTGCACATTTACAAACTGAAAAACAGTCATTAAAATCAACATTTTATTAATCTGAAGGAAAAGTACAGTATGTTTATTAATGCTCCATCCATAAGGTTCGGTGTATTACCCGATTAGACTGAAATTGTAGAAAACAATGAAGACTTTTACTGTAATTAAACAAATGAAGAATTGCTTTGTCTGTCTTTAGCACGGAATTACATTTATATAGACATTTATTTGCTCATTTACACACATCTAAGCAGAATTATGAGATCAGCCCTATTCCATCTTTTGAGAAATATTATTTTACCAAGTTTTGATAATTATAGTGGAAATTTACACTTGTCTAGTTGAAATAAAAATACAATAAAATGCAATAAATTTATTCTGGACACTAAACTAATTTTGTTCATTTCACATATGCGTCAAGGAATAAAACATCTGGAATCTCGATTATAATTTTTTTAAAAGGGAAGATTTTGTTTTTTTTATTTAAAAAAAAAAAAAAATGTTTGAAATAAAAATATGAGCATCAACATGAACACGGATGCATTATAGGACCGATTTTCTACTATTTAATATGGTAACTCAAAAATTTTCTTGTCTTGTTTTCCAGTAAAAATATGTAAACATTCTTAAATGAAGATACATCTACTTGAGATGCAAAATAACTTGAGATATTAAATCTTGTTGAAAAACTGAAAAGCAAATTTATACTTAAAACAAAGAAAAAATATCTTTCCATTTCAGCTGAGTTTATTTTTCCGAGCCAACAGGCAGATTTTTTTCTCATTTTAAGCATAAACATAATTAATTTTGATACATTTTCCAAAAAAAAACAAGACTTCTTATTTAAAGTCATTTTCCTTCTCGGGTAAATGTTGATTTCAGGATATTTAGATATTTGTAATGGAAAACAAGACTGATGAACAAAGTGATTTTTGCAGTATATTTTTCCCTTTACTTTCTGATTTGTGATCATTTTTAAAATGGCTAAAGGCTGATCTTGGCTAAACATCTTATGCAATCAATACTGCAGCTACAGTGTTTTAATGAAGACCGGAGAGCAGCGGTCATATTTGCTTTTGGTCTGTGATCGTAAACAAAGATTAAATATAATTAGCAAACATTTCATGGGAACGGCTTCATCTCACGGGTTACGAAGCCTGTAAACGCATCCGTATCCTGAACATTAATACTGTTTATTAAAGCATTAGAAGGACGCAGAGGTTGGCAGATTCCTCGCCTGAAGCTCTGGGTTTAATCATCCGTGTTTGAGACAGACATCTGCTGGTTCTCACATTAAACACAATCATGTTCGATTAGAAGTTTTCTGCTGAGCCTAAAACAACCACGGCACTGACAGGAGTCCAAAAACAACAAATCACTGCAGAGTTATAGATTTAAAAAAACCCTGCGACTTTCTCAGAGGAGTCTTGTCATTCAATGATGATTCTGAACATTTGATTATACATTAACCCTGCTTCTGTTTTCATCCCAGTGATCAGTCATTTGTAGAAGGACTCTGACTGTATATTATCAGGTGAGTATTTATTAATCTGCTGTTTGGGAAGCAGGACACACAGAAACTGGAAAGGTTTTTTATGCAAACATCTCGTTTTTGTTGATCTAGATGGGACTGATTTGAACTCTTTTGGAAAACCAAACACGCATGTGTGCAGATCGAGATGTATTTAACGTACTACCAAACAATCCTGGAAAACTTTATGGCTGAAAAACTCACTCAAATAAATAATCTTATTTAAAGGAATAGTTCACACCCCACCCCAAAAAAAATTGGAAAATGTGCTGAAAATGTGCTCACCTTCAGGATCATCCGAGATTAGGATGAGTTTGTTTCTTCATCAGATTTGGAGAAATGTAGCATTGCATCAGTGTCTCTGCAAGTGAATGGGTGCCGTCAGAATGAGAGTCCAAACAGCTGATAAAAACATCACAATAATCCACAAGTAATCCACAGCACTCCAGTCCATCAGTTAACATCTGGAGAAGACAAAAGCTGAAACAAATCCAGCATTAAGACGTTTTTAACTAAAATACGACTCCATAATTCATAATAACGCTTGAGGAGAGAAATCTGCACAGATCAAGCACCGTTTACAAGACAAAACAGTTCAAAACAGCTCTAAACAAATACAGCGTGGAAAATAAGTATTGAACACGTCACAGTTTTTCTCAGTAAATATATTTCTAAAGGTGCTGTTGGCATGAAATTTTCACCAGATGTCAGTAACAACCCAAGTAACACATGCATGCAAAGAAAACAATACAAACAAGTCCAGAAATTAAGTTCTGTGTAATAAAATGGAATGACACGGGGAAAAAAGTACTGAACTACTGAAATGTATTTAATACTTTGCATAAAAGCCTAGTGGCATGCATTGCTCAGGTGTGATTTTGGCCCATTCTTCCACACAAACAGTCTTCAGATCTCGAACGTTCAGTGGGCCTCTT